AGGCCTTAATATCTATGAAATTATCGTTTATCTGAAGGCAACGACAAACCATTGCTAACGAAAAAACGAATCGAGTGGAGTTCAGTTGAATAAATGATGGTGTTGCTTTGTCAACAATATATATGCCAAATTTATTATTATTTTTATCGTAAAATAATAACATAGGCATAATATTTGACTAATATTGTACCAATTTTACCGTTATTCCTACGATTTTCATGGATTTTCCCGGTTTTTACCGTTTAATGGTAAATTGAAAAATCCAAAAATTACTTCTTTAAAGTACCTCCCTCGTTAGATTTCTTTCAGGGAAAAATTACTGGTAGAAAAGATGTCCACCGATAAACAAATAATAAACATCTTTGTAAAACTATAAGCTACTTTTCTCCACTAGAATCTAAACTACATCCATAATATGAGAATATCCATTCAATACACGTTTAAAGATTAAACTCGGTTGAAGTACGTAATTAGGTATGTTTATAATATATGCATAATTTCATATTATTACCTTAATGGGGAAACCAGATTGTTTCCGAGATTATACATAGACTTAGAAAATGGTTTAAATGCCATTTTAATTATCCGTTTCGTAACTGTTCGTTAAACTGTACTTTGTAATATATAGCTCGATTTCAGTATAATATTGCTGCAGTTTTTTATTTCTTCTGTCTGTATTATATTATAATAAGTATAAAACTGATTATTGAGTAAATAAAAAACGTATTTCTTTGACGACGCAAAATTGAATAATTTTGACCATAATTTATAATATACCAGCTATTATAATTTATAACACAGTAGAATATCGATGTACCATCATCACTCTCTGCTATCCGTCATCGGTGAAAAAAAAACAAAACGTTAATTCGGCGATAGCAGAAATCTTGNACTGTCCTAGGATAATGGGGATGGGTATAGTCTCTTATAGAGACTTTGCAATTCTGAGCGGAGTTTGGTTAATAGTGTTGCTATCTTCATTCCAAAGTTCATTCTTCAATGGAAAATTTCTGATCAAACATTTCAGTTAGTAGAGAATGATTGTAGAAATTACCTTATTGTTGTAGTATTTCTGTTTCCCAAATTGTGTCTTTAAATTTTTTCATATATAGGAGTCCTCGTGGTGTCCAAATATAAAATTAACAAAAGTATTTATTTGAAATGTGTAGTTGACCCTGCTCTNTCATTCTAAAGTGAGTCCATTCTTTAATAGAAAATTTCTGATCAAACATTTCAGTTAGTAGAGAATGATTGTAGAAATTACTTAATTGTTGTAGTATTTCTGTTTCCCAAATTGTGTCTTTAAATTTTTTCATATATAAGAGTCCTCGTGGTGTCCAAATATAAAATTAACAAAAGTATTTATTTGAAATGTGTAGTTGACCCTGCTCTTGGTAATAATAATAATTCTTATTAAAATTTGGTGAACAAATTAAACATGTTTATTTTGAAATACAGTAATTTTTACAATTTCCATTAAAAATTTAACTGCCTGTAAAAAAACTGTCCTAGGATAATGTGGATGGGTATAGTCACTTATAGGGACTTTGCGATTCTGAGCGGAGTTTGGTTAATAGTGTTGCTATCTTCATTCCAAAGTGAGTCCATTCTTCAATGGAAAATTTCTGATCAAACATTTCAGTTAGTAGAGAATGATTGTAGAAATTACTTAANCCTGTAAAAAAACTATTGTGCTTAAATTTTTTATTTTGAATACTAAGTACCACCACCAAAAAACTACATCTGTGTAAATGTTCAAACATTTCATCTACATAAAATCAATAAAAAACTTATTTAATAATAATCTCCCAGTGTAACTAAATCCATAATGTTTACAAAAAAGATACCAAACTATACTGCGGCCACTCTAAGAGCGCTACTCATTCGCACATTCGAATGACCGAGCTTCGTGGTTTCGTACTCATTGCCGCCGTAAATACCCACACTCAGTACGCAGCGACCGGCGGCTAATTCCTCGGCCGCCGCCGCCGTGTAGCAACCAGTGGTCGTATACACCGGCTCAAGTAACACCATGAAAATGATAACACCTGACGTCAGGCGTATCTATTTATGCAATTATTTTTGTATTTTAACAAAAATGAGTAATTGTAGGTACATCACATAATACACATTAAGTGAAAAAAACATTATAATACCAAAAAAAAATACAAAAATTAATTTAAATGATAACAAAAAATCAAAATAATTTAAATACAATAAATTAATCGGAGTCTAAATCTGAAGAACTTGACGTGTCACCTGTTCCTATTATAAGAATTTGACGTCCATCGTCGGGTTCTTGGTTCAATAATTCGTCAGTTAAATATTCAATGTTCCAAAACTTGTCTTCCTCTTTTACGACATGTCCAACAAAATTAGTCCACATTTCTGGTGTTACATGGTCCACTCCTTTTTTCAATAAATCAAGTACGTCCTTTAATTTGAAAGTATTGTGCGTCCGGACGTAACTTTTTACGGAGAACCACGCGAGCTCAATCGGATTTAGCTCGCAGTGGTATGGCGATAATCGCAATACGATTTTTTGGTTGTCTTTTGCATATTCATCAATGACGTATTTGTCGTATTGTTTTTTCAGTTTTCCCACTTTTTTCATTAAATCGATTTTGACTATTGGATGGGTCATGATTTCACCTTTATTCTCAAGCCAATCTATTATTTTTGGTTTTTTACAACTCATGGTTGGCATTTGACATTTCTTCACGGAGTGATAGGAAGCATTGTCCATAACGATGATGGCGTTTTCTTTTAACAAAGGTAGAGTACAGACAAACCACTCATAAAACGTATCACCATTCATCTCGTCATGGTAGTCTGTAGAATTGGTTTTCGATTCAAAACATAATAGGCCCCCCGGGACAAAACCCTCTGTTGACCCGATATGTAGAACGATGAGACGTTTACCTTTTCCAGAGGGTTCCTTTTGTCCCGTGGTTAGACCTTTAAGAAATGCATCACGTGAAGATTTTACCGTCGTATCCATCCACGTTCTGCTGTGTGTTTCGCCTGCATTGACCCACGTCTCATCCAAATAATATATTGGTCGATTTTGCGATCTGTAATGCCTTATTTTTCGTAAATAATCTCGGCGCCAGTTTATTAAATCTTCCCTTTCCAGAAGTGCACTGTTACGATTTTTTTTTACCTATTCAAATTGCAAATCTTTTAATACCTTCTGAAATGACGTACGTTTAAAATTCGGCAATGTTTCATCCTCGTTAATGGCTGTTAGAATTTTCGTAATTGTTGGCACTTCACGTCTCCTCCAAAAATTGTGTATTAATTGCCGAATTGCATTTTTATCAAATTCGTCAATTTTATCAACTATTGCAGGTGTTTTTCTCTTCTTGTTAGGTGACGAAACTGTACCTTGATTTTTATATTCCGACAACGTTGTTTGTACTGTACGTGGTCCGAGACCCGTAGTTTTTGAAATTTCGACGATCGTTTGTCTGAAGGTCAACCGGGGGCTGTCTGGATTTTCAAGCTGTCTTTTAACTAAAGCGTTGTACAGATTAACGACCACTTTCCTTTGACCAGAGCCAATATACTAAAGAAAAAAATGATATTTTAAAATTAAAATTTTGCATTAGAAAAATAATAATACAAACGCTTACTTTTCCACTTGGATTTTTTATGATAGGCGACTCATCTGTGACGTCCATGTTGTATTTTTTAAAAAACGTAAAAAATGAAAAAATAACGGTGTGTTAAGAAACGCAAAAAGTATGTTAACAAACTTAGCGCGCAAAAAAAAAAACAAAAATGGTGTGTGTGTATTCAGGAACGTAAAAAAATATCAGAACACGCTTGGTACGCGCTGTATACAAACACTGTCACCGTTTCCCGGCCTGTGGTGGCTTGAGTGGGAGCAGCGACGGCGACGGTGGCGGCGGTTCTCGTTAACGGCGGCCAGTGTTTTGAAGAGTTTAGTGGTGGGAATGCGCGAGAACGAACGAATTTTGGTCTGCTTTGTCAGATTTTTTTCAAAACAAGTGTCATCATTGTAAATAAATCTGATCAAAATTGCTTGTAGAAAAGTTGTCTACAGAAAAATATAAACATTACTGTAAAACCAATATATTCCTCCATCCACCCAGAATCTAAAAAATGAATTTACTAAAATTATTTTCATTAAGAAGGACCCTATATTTTGTCCATGGCGAAAGCCCCCTCCCTAGATTTGGCCTTGATTTTCTCCATCAGAATTTGAATGTTCAGATTTGGGATGAAGAAAAATAAAGTATTTGAATTTCGAATAGTGTATGTAACAACAATATCATCCAACTATTAGGATATAAGCCACTTTTTACTAGTATTTTTACCAATTAGGTATACTTTCAAGACAAATTAAGGTTTGAGGTTACCCAGACAAAAAAATCGCAACAAAAAATTGAGAACCACTGTCTACATGGTGGGTGGGGGTCGGGGTACTACAGCGGTCAGCCGCCACTTTTCGTTAGCAGGACTATACTCAAGAGTTTGTGTACATTTATTTTTTTGTACATGTTATCACTATACAATAAAAAATGTATGTGTAAACATATTCATGCTTTGAAAATTAATATGTCAGATGACAATGATATTAACGCCAAAAATGATTGTACTAATCTAATGGATACAGATGAAATTTGTATGATAATGTCTGATACGCAGCAAATTATTACTGCATCTGTAGTTAGCATTGCAAACAAAGTTTAGCAGTTTCATAGTATGTTTGTGTCACAAGCAGATAAATTAAATGATGAATAGCTACATAAAAATTAATTTATCTCAAATTTATATGAATAAAAATCATAATGTTTTAGTTTCATTGAACGATTAAAATGTTAAAAAACAGTTCCGATTTTTTTCGTTTAAAAGTGCCAGAAGAACGATTAAATAAATTAACATTAAACGTAATAAAATAAATAATAGATAACTTGAACCAAAAAGATGAGTACAGTTCCATTTTTTTTGATCTTCCTTGTCCGCAGCGAAAGCGGTTGAGTCTCGACCATTCTCTCCTTGGGAGATTAAAACCTGGGAGCTTGAGATCCGGTTCCTCGATAAGTTCATAATTATAAGGTTTGCCTAATCCTAAATTTTAAAGTACCTTTAGCCCGACTGCCAGGTCAACATGGACTGACTCTAGAGCCATTACGGACCATAATATAACATGCATACAACGAATAGGCAAACATGATTTATCAGTAATCTATGATAAGATGAGTAAATGTTATTAGAGTTAGAAAAATACATTTCAATATTTTTATTTTTTAGGATAAAGTTCATTGAAGGTTATATGTAAAGCCAGGTTAAGATTATTCATATTCGAATAACTCATACATTAATAAAAACGCATAGAGTTTGCTTGTTATAAACTGTAAACATGTATACAATTATAGTTGGGAGACTTTTTGATTGAGGGAACCTTTTTCAATATGAAGTTTTATAATGCTATCATGGGTGACGTAGGCAAAAATGTACTTAGTTTATTTATACCAAAGAGTGACATTCTTGTAAAAATATAGGAGACAGCTCAACGAGATAGAGAGAAGCTTTCTATATTTTTGAGGAATCTGCTATCGTGGTTGTTATCGGCTGTCCATAATGGCTGAACGAGGGAACAATAATTCTGGAAGAAGGGTATTCGTGATTACATGTTTCAATTTGAGAGGGGGGTTTTGTTGGTTGCGACGTTTCTATTTTTGTGTGGCTGATGCTTTGAGACTTGACACGTGTATTTTTCGGTTGTTGATCGTTTAGAACACCCTTACAGATTTGTTTTTCCAGATTGACGTGTTCCCACCATATTGGTGCGAACTCGGCGTGTAATTTTTTATGTGTCTTATAATATACTACGTCACTAGCTGCGTATTTGGAAGGCGTCTGGTTACCTGTAGTGGGTGGCGTGTCGAGGACGCTATCTTCGCGTGATGCCCTGCCCCTGTTTATTTGGTTGACCGGAGTGCCCATGGTCCGAGACAGTTCCTAATCTCCCGCCCGTTTTCTCTTTGCCGAGGGGGGGGGGGGGGGAGGCCAACCTGTCTGGTCGTTTCGCCTGTTCCTGATCGTAAATAATATGGTAGCTAGCTTTGTGTTGTCCCAGGTGTTAGCCCTCGATACACCGCCGTGGTCCACCCTTCCGCTCCCTATCGTTCGATCGCGCTATGCATATCATCAATATTAATTGGGGGGCCGTTGTCGCTCAGACATACACACGGATATCCGAAACGTGAGAACAGCTCTCGCTCTAACGTTTCGGTAATTGTTTTCGTAGTGGTTATCCCAAGGGGTATGCCTCGGTCCACCTACTAAACATATCCAGTAGCTACCAGTATATATTGTTTTCTCCTACTCGTGCGCGGGTAGGGGCCCATCTGGTCGATGCTGATTACCTCCCAAGGGTGACTGTTTATTCTGGCGGTTGTGGAGTCGTCGGCGCGCGTGTTCAGCGGTTTGGTACACGCGCATATGTGACATGACTTGATGTATAGTCGGACGTCTTTTTTTTTGTTCTTTCCAGAAAAACCGTTGTCGCACTGCTTTGTTGGTCTTCTTCCAACCTGGGTGACCAGCGAGATCGTGATCGTGATATTTCCAGATCACGGTCTCTGTTTTGTTTTTGCGAATAGTTGCGGGTGTATGGCCGCCCACCTTTATTTGCAGAAGTCGGTCGGTAAATGTTTATTTATTTGTATAGTCTGTGGTGGTCTCGGTATCACGCGCAGGGCCGACTGACCGCTCATTGTGTATTAAGCCCCTTTCACACGACGCCACTATGGTGGCGCGGCCAAAAGAAACACAGAACTAGAATTATGGTTTTCACACGTGGTGGCGTGGTTGTTTAGGCTTGACATTTTCATCCCTAACGTAAAAACGGATAATCGTAAATGAGTATGTTGTTTATTTCATTACATTTAATGAAATGTATTAATAATTAACAACAAATTCAATTCTTATTTGAGTTTTAAGTTGTTAATTAATTAGTTAATTAATTAATTAAACGTATAAATTGTTCAAATTGTCCGCCGTGAACAAAACATGATTCCGCGCGCCGCATAAATTCATTATTTGTTGCAGGGGTAATTTGTTCATCATCAGTCAGATTGTATGCTGTTGTTATTTTATCTTTTAAATCTTGAAGATTTATAGGAGCGTTGCCATACACTATTGTTTTTAAGTGACCCCTTCTTCTCTTTTAAGAGAATATCAGGTGATCGTGGTGGCCATTCAATGGGTCCGTAAGTTCCAAGCCATCGGTTTGGAAATTGTCCGTTTAAATAGTCGCGAACTATGTGAGCATTGTGTGCTGGAGCACCATCATGTTGAAAAATAATATTTTCTCTTGGAGCTAAAGGAATATCATCAAACATCATCGGTAATTCGTTTAATAAAAAATTATAATATCGTCTACCATTGAGTGTTCCATCATAAAGCAATTTACTACCAATTAAACCACACCAAACGTTTATTCCTCAAATAGTTTGATTTCAAATGGTTTCAAATGGTTTCAAATGTCCAATGTGGATTTTGATCGTCCCAGTAACGGTTATTTTGTTTGTTAATAACACCATTATTTGTAAACTTAGATTCATCTGTCCATAATATCGAATTTAAAATTAATGGATTTTTGTCTAAACCGGTTATCAACTACGCATCAAAAGTAAGTCTCCGATCTGCATACCCTGACGTCAATGCTAAACTAAATCAGGTCGATATGGAAGCATTTTATACTTTTTTAAAATCTTACAAACTGCGGTATGAGATATTCCAAGCTCTCTACCAACGTGCCGTATCCCGAAACTCTGGAATTTGATCTAACATAGGCTAATAATTGTTCTTCAACCTTTTTATCTAAAACATCACCTCGTTTACGTTGTTGATTTTTAACACTTTTAGATAATGACCCATAGGTTTTCAGATTCCTTTTTAAGTTATAAATAAAACTATGGGCAGGATGTTCTCTATCTTAAGTAGTTAATAAAAGAAACGAAAATAAATTAGAAAATGATGTAAACAAAAATTAAAGAAAATTACTAAATCATACCTGGATAACATTGATCATAAGTTTGTGCTGCACGACGTTCATTTTTTTGACACTCCGAATAAATAAATAACATATCGACTTTTTGTGAATGATTCATATTGATCACGGAAGTAACGTACGTGTTTGAATGATGAAAAATAATGAAATTTTCAGCCACATCATTTATTTTATTTATCGTATTTAATTTTGTACCAAATTGTCATACAGATAAATGTTTACTCTAAGGTAGATATTACTTAATGTTTAATTTTATAATGGCCGATAAAATACGATAAATATTAGATAACGTTTATTTTCCAATTTAAAATAGCATAGGTTTAGACAACACTTTGAACAATTTATACGTTAAATTAATTATTAACTAAATAAACTTAAATAAGAATTGAATTTGTTATTAATTATTAATACATCCTATTAGATCCATTAAATGTAATGAAATAAACAACATTTTTATTTACGTTTTTTCTGTTATAAGTTATCTCATACACAAATTACAGTGAAAATTATACAGCAATTAAGATTATAATTATGTGCGATTATCAACTTAATGATTAGGGAGCCTAAAAATGTCAAGCCTAAACAATCCTAGAATAATTATTTTTAGAGTTTAAATCGCGTGTATTTTGCAGTATTTTGGTTGAATTGCTATAACTTGGTCAATTTTGGACTTAGAAAGTTGGTTTAACTACTAAAATTCATTAAAAAATTAGACAAAAAATAATTCGTGGTTACCATTTAAGAAAAAAAGTTGCACTGCGCATGCGCATGTCTAATTAAGTTAAAAGGTTAAAGGCCATGAAAATGTGTATTTTTATGTCATAACAACCGACCAAAAAACAGAATTCAAATCGCAGGATTCTACGCAAATTTATTGACTGTTTTCAGTTAGCGTTTACACACTGTATTTGTACGTATGTATAACGATGTCTGTGGTAGAGAGCCGAACTAAACTGATAAGTTAAACACGAGGACGTCGTTTAGATAAGCCCGTTGCGTTTTGGTCATCTACTAATGATTGAAGCACGTAAAATAAGTACATAATATGTACAAATAAAAAACCAAAAGCAATAATTATGATAAATTCGATAAACCGGCCGGCCGACCGGACGACCGGATAGGAGTTTTCATGTTCGGATACGCTCTAATTATAGTTCGGATAATAGAGGGTTCTGGAACGGATGTTCGGATAATCGAGGTTTTACTGTATAAAGAACATATTTCTGAAATATAATTTAAAAAGACTGCCCCTAATTCAAATTTCAGTAAACATGTTTTTTAAAATAACCATAATATAAGCTTTGATATTAATACAGACTTAAAGATATAAAATACCTAAAATAACATTAACATTAATTTAGTTTTAGAAGAATTACATATATTTTAAAAATAATATATCATATCAATACATTTAATATTAAATACACCTTTCATTACATGTATTTTAAATCTAATATTTATTTATGAGTAATAACCATTTTAATAATTTTGTTTCTACTTTATTGTTTTATTTTATATTTATATCATGAATGGGCAAGTTGCCCTTTTAAATTAACAATGAAATGATTAAATTAACATGATTAAATAGCATTAAACAAACAAAAATAGGTACAAGAAATAATACAAAATAAGTAGTATGTCTTATTATTATATCAATAATGTTATAATTCAAAATATACTTGGTGCACATTGTATTTTGGTTTGGATTAGGTAGGAAAGCATAAACAAATTTTCAAAATATTTTCTTCAGTGATTGTAATTAAACATTCAACTAATTCCATGGAGTTTGCGATAATTGAGTTCACATGAAGTCTGAAGAGATCAAAGCGAAGAACGCATTGGCAGATAAGTTGTGGTACCGAAAAGTATTAATCTTCTTCTTTTTCTTATCGTGTCCGGTGCTATTAAATTAATAAATACATAAAATAATCTAAAATATATTAGATTAAAATATAGAATATAAAATAAAATAAAATAAATGTTTAGATATTTTGTTTTAACCCCAGTAAGTGGCAATTGATATTGCCTATTCGTTGGCTAAAGCCAAGTCGTCAGTCGTGCATCCTGGCGGGGCTAAGGCGCACAGTAGTTAGTGTTTATCTGATTGGCCTTCGCCACATTCGCATATTATACTTACCAGCGGAGAAGTAAAGTGCTAGTCCAGTAGTACGGATTGTGTTTGGAGTGGCATCCCATTTGCTACCTGCTAGTTTCCGTATTAAGTTGTTTCTTGCTTCAACTTTCATTTTAGTTTTCTTGCACTGCTCTTTGAACGTGAGAGTTCTGTTCAGTGTAACTCCTAGGTAAACTGGGTGTTCTGTATTTTCCAAACACAGAACACCCAGTATTAATATGATAACCTTAAATAACAAAGTGAAAGGAAACGATAAATTTTATAAAATAAAAGTGTTAACATGTCATAAGTTCTAAAAATCATTTGATAAATAATCAATGTTTTTTTAACAGAAAACAACGCCCGTCGCATATATGTTGGCCATTTCAACAATTTTTGCAAAATTAAATTGAAAGCAAAAACGATGTTCAACGACTATAGTGTAAACGTAATCGAAAAATGAGACCAATGGAAGATAAAATGCTGACAGGAATAAGAGACGATCCATCATTTACTTAAGCGGTTACCAATATAAAGATATTTTATGCTTACCTTAGTAATGCCAAACCATTTAAGGTATATAATTTAGTAGGGTCCTTATTTATAGAAGAGAAAAAAATATTAATTTTGACCCTCAAATTGTCATTGTTGTAAGAAAGTGTTTTGGAAAAATTTAGTCATGACTATTCACTACAATTCCATGCCCCTGGGGTGTTGAAAAATAGCCAAAAAGGGTAGTTTCGTTATTTTATGGACAAAGCATAAAAATTATAGCACTTAGCAAAAAATTTAATATTACATTAATTGTAGAACATAAAATGATCAATAAAAATATATTCATATTATTTTCTGAATATTTTCGATGAAAAATAATAAATAATAAAATTGTTTTATTATTTTGCTCGAATTGATAATTTATAATTATTTTTTTGTATTTATTTTATTTATTTAACACCCTAAAGGGATATTGAATACAGAATAATAGTTGATAAATATGTAGTACATAAATACTTAAAACTATTTAAGACTATTGTAATATAATATTCCTAAACTCAACAAGCGAATCAAAACAAAAATTAAAGTTCAATATACTATTACCATTAACTAAAAGTCGATAATCCGGACTTTTATCAGCAATCAATTTGCTAGATCAAATAGGAATAGAAAATGGGGGATTATTCCTTGAATTAAAAGAAGTTACCTTAAAATAAAGTTTTTTTAGAAATTCTTAATAAAAAAATAAGAGGCGATAAATGGCCACTCTGAGGCATACCACATACAGCAATCATAAAAAATCATAGGATTCTAACGATTTATACAGAAAAGGAAAAAAGTAATATGAGAACAATAACTAATGGCCTGCCACAAGGTTCAGTCCTGCCTCCTCTACTATTCAATCTTTACACAAAAAACCTACATCCGAATTGCTCGAAAAAGTTCATTTATGCAGATGATATTGCCTTATCCAGTCAAAGTAATACTTTCGAAAGCATAGAAAACTCATTAACTTATGACCTCGACAAGCTATACTCATTTTTTAAACAGTGAAGACTTAAACCTAATCCTAAAAAAACGGAAGTAACATTATTTCACCTTAATAACAGAAAAGCAAGTCATGAAATAAGTGTCAGTTTCGGTGGTCAGAAAGTAAGAAATAGTACTCTAAATACCTAGGAGTGGTTTTAGATAGATTGTTAACATTTAAAGAAAACCTTAACAGACAATCGGCAAAAGTTAAGGTTCGCCTGTGCATCATCTCAAAGCTAGCTGGATCTGCCTGGGGAGCAGATGCAAACACGCTATGCATAAGTGTCCTATCACTAGTTTAATGAACGGCGGAGTACTATGCTTCTAACTGGCTAAATAGTGCACATACACATGTATTGTAGATATACACCTAAACGCAACAATGAGAACAATCTGTGGGCTAACAAAATCTACATCACTCAAATGGCTACCAGTGCTGGGTAACATTGATTCTCCAAAACTTCGAAGGGAACAAGCACTTATAAAAGAACGGAATAAGTATACCGGTAATCTAAACCTTCCCATACACGTGGACCTAGCAAAATTACAATATACGCCACCGCTCAAATCTCGAATTTGCTTAAGTATTTTTTAAAAAATGTATATATATTATTTTTTATAAATGTATTATTTTACATTAGGAAATACAGAGATACTAGAATTATCATCTAGTATTAGTGAAGAAGAAAATATGGAAATGGATTATTACGATACAAATACAGACATGATTCACTATTTTTCCACATCTCAAGGGCATGGGAAAGGTGTGGCAAGGCATGGCAATGGGAAGGAGGTCTTGACCAAATTTGTACAAAAAAACTTTCTTATAACAATGAACAAATTGAAGGGGTCCTACATCAAAAATTTGAATATAGACTAGAATAAGGACCACCCTAGTATACATAAAGGGATTAGATGTCGGTTGAGCATCAACAAAATCAAACTCTTGACCACGGCATCCCAGTTTACAATGCCATATTTGACATTGACATAATCAGCACATACATTTTTGTACTGTAAATAGTAAGCATGTTCCCAAACGTCACATTCAAACAGAGGGAGTAGTCCTGCACAAAAAAAAAAACATGATTCAACAAATATTAAAATATAAAGACAATATAGAGTTGAGATTATTATCAAAGCACTTGTTACATACTAATGACTATAAATTTACTAAACGGTGTTTGGTCGGATGAGATGTGAGAGTCCGCAAATATATTGTGTGATTTCAATGACCACTAAATTTATGTTTTAGCACTGGTGCTAAGCTTATTATTGTTGATATGTCCTCTGTTAAATAATATAGATAGTAAGTAATAAATTAATATCATAAACTAATATGAATGTATTTACTTTTCAAAACACAGTGCTACATTTTGTTCAATGCGTTATTATAATTGACAACATGCATGTATATACCTGTAACCAACGATGAACTATAATTCATGAAATAATGATTCTGAGGAGAGTTCAGTTGATATTGTTGCTTTATCCACAATATATATGCCATATTATGGCAAATTGTAAACATAAATATTATATATTTTCTTTAATAATATTTGTTTAATATTGTACCTAATTCCCGGTTTTTCAAATTTATTGGGAAAATCGAAAAATGGCCTCTATAAAATACCCCCTCAGTCAGAATTCCTTTTAGAAAAAGGAGCGAAATTGCTGCTAGAAAAGCTCTCAGCAAAAAAAAATAAATAAACATCATTATAAAACCAATACATTCCTTGCTTTTTACTGAGAATATAAAATGTATAAAAAACATTTGAACCATGATAAATGTAATATTTAAAAAAGCTTAATCACTTATGAATTCATTCCCTAGTTCTAGCAGTAATAATATTATAATAAAAGTATTAACTTTATTAATTGATATTATTTTGACTGCCAAAATTCTTAAAAAAACAAATATATGGTTATTTTGTATACTATCGAAATTCCAAAAATTCTTGACAAGCTGTACAACTTGTTAATTTATAATATTAAAACAAGATATTTTTAAATTGAAATATCAATACATTATAACTATTATTAATTATTACAAACCTTAGCAAATTTCTGGGATAAGTGCATGGATAAATTGTAGAGCACATTTTGTGGGTACATTATATATTTATAAACAATATTATGTTCCGTTCAATAATATACATGAACGAATAAAATATGCATATTTTTCATTGCTTATCAACTCGACCTTATTTTTTATTATAGATAGGTATGCAATGGTATATTAGGTGCAATTAGGTATAAATTGCACGGGACATGTAGAACCATAGTGAAAGAGCGAGGGTCCCATTCCCCTTACTCTAAGGATAGTCTCACTTGCAGAATTGATCTGATTCGTACAATTAAAAGAGCCAGCTATACATATTAACATTGGTAATGTTGCTGGAAATTAAACAATTAGGTTAGTTTTATATGGAATAAAATTATTACTCATTGGTAATCAACATCTCCAATCAAGTCTTCGGCTCCAACGTAGAACAGTCGCATCGTGTTGGTGAAACCCGCATTTTGTTTGGAACAGCACATATGCAATACTAAATCGCCTTGATTCAGGATGCCCCTTTTCTTCCCTAAGTTCATCGCGAACTTTGTACGATTTTCAATGTCTTTTGCCCAATTGGTTTCTATTGGTTCTGCAAAAATGTATGAATTGGCGTTAAAATTTTGCACTAATGCAACTGATAAATATAAAAATAATGTTAAATGTACATTACCTAACTTATTAAAACTTAGGCTATTTTTTTTTCAAACCGCCCGAAAGCTTTTATTGTAACGATCAAAATAAATATTTAACAATACATTATCAAAGGTGTACATAAATACTTGTGATGTATTTATATACAAAGCTTAAGCTATTGTATATTAATACGTCCCTCAGTCGAAAACAAGTCTAGTGGCGTATTCAGGTGGGTTATACCTAATATAAATACCAGGTATGAATAGGTTCTTCGCTCCGTTTTTTTGTGTTCATTCGACATAGGATTAAATCATATTGTACAATGTGAAAAGGGTATGCATTATACAGGTATATGGCTAACATATCAAGGGAGAGTGTAACTATTGGCCCTACTGGTTAGTGGCTAGTGGCTATTGCGTATACTTTCTTTTCTCTTTTTATTTGGCGTTATCTGCTACTCGATTATTTCTATTATCTATCTATACTTTTTAACACTTTTTATAATTTTAATTATTAAAAGCTTGTGATAAATCTGATATCAGTATTTTGGGCATGTACTGAATGAAATGTTCTTTTTATATTTTGTTGGCACACGTTTTATTGATCGAAGAATGTAGGATTACAATAAACTAAGAAAGTCTTTGGTCTGTAAAGATTACTAATATAATCACTTGATTTACCTATATAGTGCACCGCCGTAAGGTTGCGCCATACGGTGATCTTTCTGGCAGCCTTTCCGTTTTTGATAATGGCCAGTACTGGACACCTGGGTCGGTACCTGGCGACGATTTTGGCGGACAGTCCGGACGTGGTGATCACTATGATCGCAGCTGTATGACACTTTAACGATACTTCCACGCACCCGATGCATATCGCGTGTGTTGGATCGACTTTCGGTTTGGCCTATATTATGAGCAATACAAGTCGGCAGCATAAGAAAAAAAAATCTTGTTCTCTACAATCGCTTCACAAGTAATTTTATTCGTATATACCTTATTTTTCAGGTCGGAAAACACCTGCTGTTCCCATATAGCGGCTTCACCCTGTCGACATACTGTCGACGCGTATTCGATACAGTGGGCCTTGTGGGTGGCCCGCTTTGTCACTTCCAGGTAAATGCAATCAGTCCCATCCAGTACCGTGGTTATAATGTCATTTATTTCGGAGCTCAACGGCACCGTATTACATTCCATTGAATTAAAAAATTTACCGTGAGTAACGATTGGCTTTCCGATCTAATATATTCCGATAAATAATAAAGAAAAATCAAACAATCTTACATTATTATTTTGATCATTTATTTAATTATCTACAAGCGAAAATCCCTGTAAAATTACTTCGTTACAATGTAAATTAAAGTAAGGCTTTTAAATATAAATTGCATTAGAAATGATTAAAAAGTTCGTTAAAAATACTTTTTTTTATTTCTCTAGAAAAACAAAACTTTCTTACATATATTCGACACTATCTGAAGTTATTAAAATATTATGCCTTAAATACTTAAATAAAAAAAATAGTCGCACTTAAAGTACATACTTGTAAAACACATTTAGAGAGATGACTCAAATACCGATTATAACATTATATAAAAAACACAGGTGTATAGTTATTATATTTCAAAAACTTTTTATTGATCTATAGTGAAACACACCATTTTCCTATGGTTTTTACTGGTTATCGGGCCACTTAATATTACACGTTAATACAGAAGAGACTCACTATGTTACACTTGGATAAGACAATCTTTTGTGCTAGAAATATACAATCAGCGCCGATTTCCATGGACAAATTGGGCCGATCTAAGAATATACCGTCGGTAATCGGTATGATTTCGTCGACGTTCTCGAGTCCTACACTGTTGTCAATTTTCGCGTACAGTTCGATGTCCTTGCCTTTCTCTTGGCCTTTAAACGAAACGTTACGTTATATTTACCCATAAAATAGCCAACATTAAGCAGGTTCGGGACAATTACAAACGAAATTTTTGACATAAGTGAAATACGGTGCGTTCCTGACACCGGGAACCAAGATCACATCGACTTTGAGTTGGATCCCTATACGGATGTGTTCCTCGTCTTGTTTGGTTAGTGCCGTCATACCGATTGGTATTCCCGGTATGTGCACCGTTTTTTCCGACCCCAAAAAATCTCCTCGTTTGATTAAACAATATACCTCGTCCGTTTCTAGAAAAACAAACCAAAGTTTTCTTCAAATACTGCCCCTTTTGGTAATGGCTCAAATGGCGTTTTCCGAGACAAAGAAAAAGACCCATTAAATCAGTAAATGGGAATACGAGCGCTATTATATTAATTTGTGCTCGGTTTTTAGTACGAAAATCTATAGACACATTACTTGATTAGGTACTTACCGACTCTTTCCACGATTAATTCGATTTTTCCGTCGTCCAGATAGATCCGATCGTTTTCTTTAAGCCGAAGAATTTGTTTAGTGTCCGTGTAAATTCGGTCTGCCGTACACTTGTCTTTATAATCAGGATCGTGTGTCACATAAACATGACCGTTGGTCAATAGTTCTACCATTTGTTCCTGCGGTTTGCCCTGTATGGAAATTAAAAAAATTGCTGATACTGCAACTGCCGATGGGCGTGCCATTGTTTTAGACGTGAAGTTAAATGAAAAGATAGGACAAAAAAAATAAATACATTTCACTAATTTATATCTGTACGCAATAATAAATCGTTACTGATGTATACGATTCTGAGCTTAGTTCGGTTAAAGTCCATCGCGTTTTGAAAAGCCGTAATTTTTTATGGGGTGGGTTTAATCCACCCCATCAAAAAGTTCTAAAATGTTAAATGGAATTTCAAGTTCAATTCTATGACTATATTATAATAAATCAGAATGAACGATTTCGGACAAAAATATTATAGTGACACCAAGAAGGGGAAGAGTTAGTAAAGTGTGTAGACCTAAAATGAGTTCCTGTGAAAAGTTTTAATAATTTCAATTGGAAAAAGGAGGTAGAGGGTAAATGGTTTATCATTAATGTTCCCTGAAATGTTGAAATGCTTCTCGATGGGGAGGGGGTTAATGGTTGTTGATGTATGGACCAAAATGAGATGTTCCCAAGTTGGACTAAACTGTACGGTATATACATTATCACTAGACTACAGATATGTAAACTGTACATGAGTGAAGTCGCGGGTAATACAGCATGTTTTTACACACGCGGTCGAAGCCAAGTATTTCGGCTTGTCACTATAACTGCTAGTGTATAAATGTTGAGTTTTAGCTTTTAGCACCCCGGATATTTTTTTACTTCAATTCTTATTTCTTGTGCCAAAAAAATGTTCTATCCATCTTTGTAGAACACTATTATTATAGGTACCTACTATTATTTTTAATCGCTTACCTTTTTGTTCAGAATTTTCCCTGTCATGATGGACGTTCCTTTAAGACATAGTACTAGAGATAAAGAATATGGAACCCTGTCGGTCTTTAAACTGTAATTAAAGACCCCTTGACGAATCTCGTAAACCACTTTCCTACTTAGATCGTAAGACAAATTGTTAAAATCGAATAAAACCATTGACATGCCTCTCTCGCAGAGGTCTTCTATTACATCTTTGGTCACGTTCGATCCTGCAGTAATAATAATTAAAACCATAAACAATTGATTAATTAAATATATAATATACATATATTTATATTTATAACTTACGAACGCCACAAGCTATAGTAGTCAATGTATTTTTTGATGGATTTGATTTGATGGTCAAATTACTCATATGATCGAGATAGTTATTCTCAAAAGTCGCTTTCATTTGCATTTCATTTGTGTCACAGATTTCCTATTCATAGTAATTTTCTTTAAGTTATAAATAGTAAAATAATTTAATCAAATTTAGAAACATTACCAATGGACACATATCACACGGTCTTTTCATCCAAGTCGAATTTACGGAATTCATTTTTTCAAATACTTTTTATAATAGATCCGTTAAGTTTGTGAAAATTTCAAAATTAGTTCTATGATCAATATATCAAATATTTAAAATAAATAAAAAACTTTTCTAATAAACAAGATTTGTAGATGCGTGGTTACAAATAATAAAAAAAACATCCGAATATTATTGGGTCAATATTAACAACAGTAAATGAAACAATTTTTTTTTTTGTCCTTGTTTATAATTTTTCTCGGATTACCTATTCTTATATTATTATGATTTCTCGTTTCAATGTGAGAGATAAAACCTAACGAATAAATAAGTTTTATGAGTTATAATTAAATATAATTATATGTATATATAAATTCCATTTTTTCTATTTAAAAAATAATAATCTTAGTAATTAATTTCGCTAAGAATCGTTTTTCGTTAGCAATGATAAACGGTTGCATACAGATATTACATTAAATTCATCTCTATATCCTACTTTCTCAACTTCTCACTTACAACAGTGGCCCACTCACCGTGCGCAGACGTGAAGTATGTTCGTCTTTTGTTATTGGAAGGTTTTTATTCTACTTCGAATCTTGTCTGTTTTTCTGTCCACGCTATTTCTGGGGAACGGCTAAACGTAATAAACAAAATATATTTTGAATATAGATGAGCTCTAGTCGTGCATGGCGGCGAGCTTTTTCTAAAATATGATTGATTTGCCTCAAACGGCTACTGCGGTCGTCTCTGCAGCGATGATAATGTGGCCGCGGCGGCGCGGTGTTCGCATTATCTTCGGTTTTCTCGTCCGAATAGGGGTAGTGGCATGCGTTCGAAAATATTATTATTCCCTTTTACGGTGACACGGCCAAAGGCGCTGACTTTAAGTTTGGGTCTTGCCCGAGAAAAATTAATTTATTAGGTTGAATACCTTTTAATACTGGATAATATAAAATAATAATTAATTCCATACACTGTCTTTAAATTAGCATTCATAATTATATCAATTAGGTACCTGATTAAATATCATACACTTCAAAAAAGTAAAAGCAAAAGTTTCTTTGTAATCTTCAATCGACACTCATAGACTATAAATAAACTACTTAGATAATATTGCAATCAAGTCAATATAATATTTGGTGACACAGTCGTAAAAGATAAGAACGAAATTGGCAGTGAAGTCGAAATGTATGAATTAAATTTTAATTTACGGAAAAAAAAGTGATGGCAATTTTACAAAATATAAAACCTGTATTTACTGTTGTCATATGTCAACATAATAGTAAACAAATAATGTTTACATACAATTTTCGGGTAGTGCTTAGGCACACCCGGCAAGCCTTGTGCGCACGACTACATATTAGTTGCTGACTTTGGTTTAGTGGATAGTATATTAGGCGGTCCTTGACAAATTCCAAGGGGGGAAGGGAGTGAAATATTGTTCAACATCAAATACAATCGTTAAAAATACTAGTCATAAAAAAAAATTAATAGTTTGTTAAATTTAAAAATGTATTTCGTGTAATATTATTTTTTTGGCTTAATCTACTCTACAAGAGTTTATGCTGCCATTACAACTTCACGTCACATTTTCCGATCATGGATTATGTTTCTCCTATTCTTTTTAGATTTTCCTCGACCACATTGATCCATATTTTCTTCTTACATTCTCGTGATCTTTTACCCGTTGGTTTCCAAGACAGAACTGCTTTGATTATTTTATCGCCACTATCACGCATAATGTACCCACACTGAAGGTAATAATTGCTGTTTTTTATGTACTTTATTTTTTATGATGTCATCATTTGGTTGTTTATGATGTAAGAGATAAGACATTTGATTGTAAAATTTGTCAAAAAAAATTCAAATACGAATCTTGGTACAAGAACGGTACATCAATTAGTGGGGATTTACAGATGCAATTATTGTCGTATACGTACGATTAGTGTGACGTCATATTATCAGATCAAGATCCTTATCAAGTACGATGGGATCCAAACAAATGCAAACACACAAATGCGATGCAAAGTAACTTTAAAATTCTTATGTTCTACGTTTCAAGTATTTTCATACTTTTTTTATTCCAAAAACTCTGGTTCGATTATATCTTATTTGATAATAGTCAAATTTTGGAGTGTAAATACTCGTATTTTTTAATATTAGGGTTCAATAATATAGTTTGCACGATTTTAATTGTACATTTCAATTGTTTGTGTCCAAAAAATCAATTTTTTTTTTTTAATTAGCTTTTATTAATAAATATAACTCAACGTTTACAATACATTAAAATATTAACAATCTAATATAAACAAACAATATAAAATTAAAGTATATAAATAAAAACAATTTCAGACGATAAAATCCGCCTCCTGAATAAAAGAGATAATAATAGAAATGACCTGTTCAGAGTTGGAATTTAGAATAGAATAGAGATTAAATGAAACTTTCAAGGAGTTGAGAGAAGTAAGTGCTGACGTCTAAAGGAGAATGAAGGACAGTCGAAAAGGATATGCGACAAATCACAGATGCTTTCCTCTATATGCAGAGTGCTTAAAGGATAATCTTTTAAATTTAACTTGTAAGCATGTGAAGGTAATAAACAGGGCTGTGAATTTAATGCACCAAAAAACTATTAAATATGCACTAAAAAATGTCAAAATATGCATGAAAATATGCACTAAAAAATATCAAAATATGCACTAAAAATATCAAAACGTGCATAAAAATATGCTATTAAAATTTCGTAAAATATGTACTAATTTTTCAAAAATATACAAAAAACAACAAAAAATATTTTTTTAAATACTAAATATAATTGTTAAAAATTTATGGGTATTACATGTTTATATAAATTTAAATTAATTGCGATCTTCATCATCGTCATTTACGGCATCTATATAAAAAAAATAAATATAAATATAAATATAAATTTAATATTTAATAAATTTACCTCTAAAGTAATTATTGCATTGTACGATTAATGATTTTTTGAGATTTTCAAACTTGAAAGACCTCCTGTTTGGTGCCAATATATTCTTATATAAAGAAAACGATCGTTCTACATCTGCGGATGTTATTGGTGCAAACTTAAAATACGCCATGTCGCTACTGGTTAAATCTTCTGGTATATCCAAATCACCTACATTCTCTTCTTCGCCAGTTAATATTTTTGAAATATTACAAACAATTTGAAATCCTTTGTTTTTGTTGAGAACTGTTTGTAATTTTTTATTAATATCAATTCCAGCGGTACCTGTTAATTGACTAAACTTTGATGAAATATCTTGTATGATTGCAATACCTTCAGATAAGGGTATACCTTGTTTTTGNTTTTTTTTTTTTAATTAGCTTTTATTAATAAATATAACTCAACGTTTACAATACATTAAAATATTAACAATCTAATATAAACAAACAATATAAAATTAAAGTATATAAATAAAAACAATTTCAGACGATAAAATCCGCCTCCTGAATAAAAGAGATAATAATAGAAATTACCTGTTCAGAGTTGGAATTTAGAATAGAATAGAGATTAAATGAAACTTTCAAGGAGTTGAGAGAAGTAAGTGCTGACGTCTAAAGGAGAATGAAGGACAGTCGAAAAGGATATGCGACAAATCACAGATGCTTTCCTCTATATGCAGAGTGCTTAAAGGATAATCTTTTAAATTTAACTTGTAAGCATGTGAAGGTAATAAATATATATCGATGGTTAAACTGAATAATAGATGATCTGGGCAGCGATACATTCTCGAACCAAATATTATTAATAATGTTGGGTACGATAGATTTAAATCTGGAGGTAAAATTAGCGGGTGGATTATGCCAAAAAACGGAACAGAGATTAGAAACATGATGTCGTAGAAGAGGGATAATATCAGACCAAGGAATTAGAGAAAAAGAAGAACTAATAAAGTTAAAAGAAGATTTGGCTAAGGATTCGGCGTACTCATTTCCGCGAATCCCCCCACATGACTGGGAACCCAAAGAAACTGAATATTAAAGTCTAATTGGCCAAGGCTAAAAATAATAAACTTAATACGGATAATTAATGACGATAAATGGGAATTAAGAGATTGAAGACAAGACATAGAGTCCGATGCAATTAAAACATTTTTATTTGAGAAAAAAAAGAAACAATTGAGTGTTTCCATAATAACAAAACACTCAGTAGTGAAGGAAGATGAGGAAGGGGGTAAGTTGCTTGTAAACGAAATGTGTAAGCTGGGGATATAAAAAGAGTAACCAGCCGAAAGGGGAGAAACGAAACCGCCCGTATAAACCACAGTGAAGTCCAACGACACCTGATGTTAAAAGGAGGGCACGATGATTCCACCTCAATTGCTGGGAGAGGGAATGATCTAACGTAACCCATAATCCCTCTTAGGCAAGAGCTTTGGACAGCAATCAAATTATGTCTGATAAGAAGTGCACGGAATGAGAATAATTGTACGTATTCGATGGGTGCGGGGTGGAAGGAGGACGGCGCGCGGACTTTCGGATAACGAACGGCGTCCGTCACCAGAATTCACGTTATTATTATTTTGATAATAACAATAAGTAATGACTGCGGCCGAATCAGTTTTCCTCCGGTCCCCGCCGGCGGTAAAACTGCGCGGTCGTCAGCGGTGGCTGCTGTGACTCAGCGGGCGGTGGCGGTCGTCTGCGCAATACGCTCTCCGCGGTGCCATCCCGACAGTCGACACTGTTTCTTTTGCACGGGTCCGCCAAACGATAAACAACTACGGAGGTACTTGTCCCGACCCGCGCGTTCGTGGTTTTTTTTCCGTTGCAATTGTGTACCTATTTATGCGTTTGTACGATCGGCCTCGACGTTTGTTTTCGTATGTTTCGATGCGGACGTCGCCCGATATTTTGCCGGTGACATTTCGCGCGTAATTGTCCGGGGCCCGTCAACGTACGAAGCCCTAAGATCAATTAACCCTGCGGTGGTTCTGTAAAATCGGCGCGAGGTTGCCGATGATGTATCTGTATGATGTTATATTCGTACATGTCATTCGGTTAGGTTATCTGTCCATAACGGATAATAATGTAAATCTAGTCGAATAGCAGAAGATTGGTATTTTTTCCGGCCGGTTAACACGTTAACTGGCTAGCTGCACAGACCGCAATTTTTATCTTTTAGCATTTTGTTGTAAAATAACCGATTAACGGAAACTTCCCACGGTTATCGAACATTCTAGAACAATGTTTGTTTAATACTTATACTGCAATGTAGAGCTCATAATTTTGTCAGTCATTGGTTTCAAACCAAAACTGCCGGACGCGTTGCAAACATTTCCCCAGAAATTTGTTATAAAACAGCAAATTGACGTTAAACCATGAAAAAACTCCGGACGGAAAGCAAATTTACAGTGATTTTAGGGAAAACGATAAACAGGAAAAGCGAAAAACTTAAATACAGCCTAAGATTAATATAATGCAGAATATATTTTTTCTTATCATATAGAGTTGTTGTTTATTTTGGTAATTCTTTATTATCAAATATATTTTCAGGAGCCAGTTGATAGTCTGAATGAAGATCGTGAAGTTCTTTAGTATATTTCAAATCTAATTCAAAAATATAACCTTTTTTCTGGCCATCTTTCATTTTTAAAATATATTCTGTATCAAACAAATTAGGATCTTCTTTTTATCGTGTCCGGTGGTTAAACTGTCTTTAAAATAGGTAAAATATGGATGTAAATGTGTTAAATATTTTGCTTCATCCAGTGGATGGCTATTGATATAGCATTTTCGTTGGCTAACGCCAAATCGTCAGTTGTGCATCCTGGTGGGACAAGGGAGCATTTCATTAGGTGTTCATCAGATTGGCTCTCGCCGCATTCACATGTGTCAGGTCCTTCTTGGTATCCCCATTTCACAATGTTGACTCTTGTCTTTGCTACTCCGGCTCTTAGCCTGTTTATTGTTTTTCATAAGGGCCATGGTAGGTTTCCACCTGGTGGTAGTCGTTCATNGGTGGGGCAAGTGCATCCTGGTGGGGCAAGGGAGCATTTCATTAGGTGTTCATCAGATTGGCTCTCGCCGCATTCATGTTCATCAGATTGGCTCTCGCCGCATTCACATGTGTCAGGTCCTTCTTGGTATCCCCATTTCACCATGTTGACTCTTGTCTTTGCTACTCCGGCTCTTAGCCTGTTTATTGTTTTTCATAAGGGCCATGGTAGGTTTCCACCTGGTGGTAGTCGTTCATCAGGTAGGACAGGTGATTTAGCTCGTAGCTCTCTTCATTTGCGTATTCGAAGTTGGTCGGGAGGCTCTTGGATCGCATTTGTGCTAGCGATAAAACTTTTTCTTGATTTAAGTCTTCTTTGGGGCTCTAAATAACAAATTAGGATTAGACCAATTAAAACCTTTATATGGTAAATATTTACACATTCCTCATCCATAGAGATTATTTGAATCCAAATATAAGAGATATTTTGTTATTGTTTGTTCTTTTTTGTACTTCTCTCCAATATATTTATTATTTGTTTTAGAATATCTAATACTAGATTGAGATAAACCTCCTCTTATTCCCTGTTCAAACATTAAATACATATCAATATCTATTAGCAGTTCTCATTTTACACCTGTTTTTCTAAGCATAGCATTCCAAGCAAAACCTGTTATTTTATAATGAACAGGATCCAGCTTAAAATGTCCAAATGAAACAGCTCTATAATTTTTCATTACATCTGTAAGTTATAATACATCTATTTTATTATAAAGTATAGTAAAGTCTTTCATATTTTTTAGCATTTTCATATGCATTTTGTGTTACATATTCACCTGTAAGAGAGCAGTAAAATTTATCTACATTAGGTAGAGGTTATTCATCATATTTTTCTGGAGAATCAATATTCATAAGGATATGCTAATTTTCCTTTTACTAAATCCAATTGTTCAGGATAATGCTTTAGATAGTTCTTTAAACTGGTATAGTATTAAAGTATTAACTAATTTTTTTTAAAGAGTTAGATAAGAACTTGAAAGAATCGAAAAATCTTAATTCAGTTGTTTTAAAAATAGGATTTCCTATCTGATCTAAAACAGGGTCCTTTAGTTATTATATCTATTTTCTCATATCTTATAATTTTCTGAAATTGTTTTTTATTATCTGTATCAATACCAAATTCTTTTATGAATAAATGTGAGTCATAATCAGATAGATTGTGAAAAAATACAGGAATAAATCTAGAAACTTTTTTGAATACAAATTCAATTAGGTAGGTTTTTTCCAACAAAATACTGCATAATAACATTACACAGACAACCTCCTATCGGTATTTAAGCATCATATAACCATATAATTTGTATTTTTTGTTTTTTTAATTATACATTATATATATATGTAAGTACACCATTATACAACTGTGGCCATACCTACCATATAGTTTTTTTTTTATATATATCATTTTTTTTCAATACAAATATATTAGGTAAGTACTTTATTTTTCAGCACCACTTTATGAATTATACTGACCAGGGCAGGAGCTTAGATATCATGTTGATGGGCCACGGGCAAATAGGCGCTAAAAGGAAATCTGATTGGGAAGGTACTTTAGGGAGGTAATTTTTCGATTTTTCCAGTAAATGTGAAAAACCGGGAAAAATAAGAAAAATCGGTAAAATACTAAACAAATATTATTAAAGAAAATATATAATGCCTATTTTATTTTTTTTAGCAGATCGTATAATACAAATAAACATTATACAACATTGTAAGATTAGGTCCCCTCGGGATTTTTTTTAAAAAAAAAGAGTTAACAAATTTATATCACCCGTGTCGCCTTTTAATTACGTTATTCGGAAATAAAATGTTCATCATTTCTAAAACTAATTCTTCGATGTATTCTGCAGCTCTTTAATTGTCAATAAACGTTTTAGTATTATTATTTTAATTCGTTTTCAGTAATTCAATTAATGATTTATCTGTCAAGTAATTTGGGTCTAAATGCTCTTGTTAATTATGAATGAGTAATAGCACATTTTAAAATCACTATAGCCAGTTTAGTATTGTGAGCGACGCTCAATTGTACTGCATATTTCATAGCGGTTTTCAACAAGAATGGATTTGATGGTTCAAAATTTTATACGCACAAACTGTAAGCCATATAATATGCTTTAGCGATTTTTCTATAAGTTCCTTCGTTGTAATCTTCTTCCCAAATATATTTGCAATTTAAGATTTATTAATAAATAGAATAATAAGTGCCTGTTAATGAATCAGTATTGTGCGATGCCGGTTAATCGAGAAACCGTTTTTATCTCCGATGTAATATTCGGCTGGCTGCACTGAGATAACAACTACTGGAGCGTGGACACGCTATGTTCATAATTAAATGTAATAGAAAACAAGCCGTGTTGAATACCGCTACCCTCACCACCGAATGGTAGCCTATTTAAATGCGTATTAATTAACACTGGAGTAAACTTTAATTTAACTTTTAACAGAAAAAATTGATTCTAACTGATCGAGTTTGGTATCAACATTTTTATCTTGAAGTGGGCTTTATGTTGATAATAGTTAATGATAACCTGAAATAACACAGTAATATTGATTTATTAGTTATATCGGTACTTTCATCAAGTTGGAGACTAAAGCAGTCACTTTTATTAATTCTTCTCAACAACTGTTCTTTAATATTTACTGATAAACCATCAATTCGTTTGTTTTATTGTATCATTTGAAAATCCAAAACAGAACATTAATAAGTACTTAAATAAATATATAAATAAATAAACTTTATTAGATTATTTCAATACATTATTTATTACAATTTTTTAATCTACCTGTACCTTCGCTTGAAATGAATTAAATATTTTATATGTTATGTAACTTTGTTATAATACACTGTTATATAGCAATGTTACTTAGGTGTGGACGCGGCATAACATTCTTGCCTCTTATTCTTCAATTTCGATATCAATCGACCCATGGCATCTTTTAAATCCTTCGGCAAAACGTTAGTTTCCGTTTTTTTTGTAGACACCTCCATTTCTATGATTTCGGCAATTAAATTTATGTTTTCGTTTAATGCCGATTTCACTAATATATAAAATTTCCTTCCTCGTTAAAGAAATTTCTTCGGCATTTACCGAAACTTCTATAGAAAACCGAAAAACAACATTAATATTATAAAATTATATTAATAGTATTAAAAATAATATTAAAATTTGTATACAAAAAAAATGTATACATCAGCACATAAAAATTACAACTGAAACCAAAGACGCAGCTAGATGCAGCTCATTTTTGGATATGTTATAAAACAATATTTAAGCAACAATTTCCATGTGGTTTAAGTGTGGAGCTCGATAGGGGTTTTAACTTATTGCTTTTATTATAGTCTATTCAGGTTAAGAGTGCCCAACTCGCGCATGCATACCAAGCTGCCGACAACTGTCGGACCCTGTGATTGGTCGGCGTTGTTCA